AGAAAAGGTCCCCTCGGGGAGGGCGCCACTGTTCCTGCCCGTCCACCACCCGCAGAGCTGACAGCAGCCCGTTTCCTGCGGCCAACGGCCTCCTGTCCTACTTCAGGCCCGTGTGGGCATGTGAGGGGTGTCGCCCACGCTGGAGTAACAGGGAGCGTTTCCCCACCCGTCCAGGAATGGGCACAGTCCCAGGCAGACCGTGACGGGGAGCTGGGACTTGGCTGAGCTGACAAGCCAGTGGGATGAGGAAGCTGGTAGGATATGCGTGTTGTGCTCCTGACAGCCGTCACTCTGCCTGCTGGCGTCAGGGAAAAGCTTACAATTACAACGGGGCCTTGGTCCTAAGATTAAAAACCACAGGGTCTTACCATTGCCACATTAGGATGTTATAACGCCATCTCTGAAAATAAATGCACTCATCCCAGAGTCTCCGAAACCTTTTATTTTTCGAGTCTAAGCTTTATCTAGAAAGGAGCAAAACAAAGGAGCATTCTTAGCAGTCATCTGGCAAAACTGTCTATTATTCTCGACATTAAAGATTGAATGCAATAATTAAGAAAAAAACAAAAACAAATTACAAAATATATTTAGAATCGGGTGGACTCCAGTGATGAGAATTTAGTCACGCCAGGCAAGCAAGGGGCGAGAGGGCCTGGGAAGTGCCTGCCTCACACATGACATGTCCACACGGGACTCTCAGGGTGACTAACGCTAAGGGTTTACCCAAAGGCAGTTTCCCCAGCAGAAGCCATTTCCGGCTCTAGAGGGCGTTCACCTCCGACATCTCGAGCCCCGACTTCAGCGGCTGCACCTCGTGGACCTCTGTGCCACACTTGGGGCACGTGAAGTACATGTCAAACAGGAAGCTGCTCTTCACGCAGTAGTAGCAGAAGATGTGCTCGCAGCCGATGGTGTGCGGCATGGTGGGCCACTCCCCGCAGAGCGCGCACTGCTGGCCACTGGCGGCCAGCGCGCTGTCGCCGTCGGGGTGCCCGGTGAGGGGGACGCACCAGGAAGACAGCCTGGCTTTCAGCTTCTGGACGTTGATGAGCGGCAAGAGGAAGATGAGGAACTCCGCGAAGCCGTGCCAGAGCAGCTCCCTGTTCATGTACTCGAAGCCCACCTCGCGCACGGGCGGGGGCCTGCAGAACACGGAGCGCAGGCCCAACAGACGCTCCGTCAAAGTGGCGAACTTGCCCCTCTGCAGGAAGACCAAGAAGTTCAGCAGCTCGCCTAGCTTCCAGAGCCCAACCGCAACGTTCACGCACTGCTTGGCTTTCCCGAATGCAGCTAAGTGGCGGTTTCGAAACACATCGTAGCAGCGTTCCTCTAACCACTTCCCGCCAATGGTGCAGACGGCAAACCAGAGTTTCTGGCTTTGACTCGGTGGCTGGTATCTCAGGGTCGGGGAAAAATCGTTCTTGTACTGAATGTTTAGCACTGACTGTCCCACGGTGGCGTTTCTGGAGTAAAGGGTGAATCTCCACAAGAAAAGCCACAGGAGCGCTTTCAGTTCCGGTTCAAAGGAGGCTAAAAGCCCCGGCTTAAAGCCATGGAAGCACTGAGAGAACTGGGACCAGACCAGCTGCTCCAGCGCCTTGTCCAGCTCCAGCGCGTCCAGCTGGCTTATTCTCAGCACCCTGTGCGTGCTCGTCGGCGGCTCTTCTTTGGAAGCCATGTCTTCCCTGCAGGTCTCTGGGAAAAAGCACAGTTAGAGAACATCATCAGATGGCGGCCAGTTTGTACCAGTTCCTCAGCTTACACTTGGAAAACGGTGACGCAAAAGTGGCCCAGGACACACAGATGGGCCTTTCAGTAGTGTCAGAACAGCACAGCAAACAGTCACTTCTTCCTGGGAACTTCTTTCTCTCTCTCCTCTCTTCTCCTTCCCTCCTTTCTTTTCTTTTCTTTTTTTTTTTTGGCTCTCCTCATCACAGGAATAACAGGTTTAGCAAGTTGCATCCTATTGCCACAAATGCAGCTGTCTGTAACCCTCCATGGTTCGTTTAGCAGGGAGATAAGAAAACCCTGAAGCTAGCCACGCTGAGGCTGAACAGTAACATGACCGATGGAGACACACATGAACCTCACAAATACGGTAAACTATATGGAACACTGCGATGGATGCTAAGTCAAGACCTCCGTTTAACCTCCAGTGCTTGTACTGACGCCAAAGGTATATTTTTCAACAAGTCACTAAATCTCCTACGTATTTGTAAAAGGAAGGTAGGAGAAAAAAATAACAGTTAAGTGTTTATTATTCTAGCACACAACTGCAGAAAATAAATACTAGCACAAAGCAAGATGAATGCAGAAATGTCATTATTAAGGTACCAAATAGGTGCAGCTCGTACACTTTCTAAGAAAAGGAAACTATGACGTAAAATATATATTCTAGGATCATTTCACAAACACACTAAGGAAACAAGTCGATGCTTAAAGGGATAGAAACCTTTTAAAATAAAATAGAAAAAGCTGACGAATGGTTAGCTAGGTATGACGGACTGGTTCAAAACACGTTTATTAAATGTGTTACGTGTGATGAAATTCAGCAGCCGCTGCTGTCAAGGAGAGCCCAGACCAGTCAGGTGTTTCCCGTTTCATTAATGAACTGGCAAATCCAAACTGCGATAGGAAATCTGTTCACATGGAGTTGCTAAAACGCGCCCTCAACACAGAGCTTGATCACGCTCTCTGGGCCTTCGAGAGACCCGATGCACGGACAGGAAGAAAACCAGGTTACAGGGAGGCAGGGACCCCGCTGAATGGCCCTGTGCCCTTGGACAAGTCATTTCACCTAATCTCTCCGCCTTGGTTTCTTCACTTACGAAGTTAGGGTTGAAGGCAAAATTCCATTACTTTAGGATTTTTACTAAAAAGATGTAATTTGTTAGGCGTTCAAGGGACTGAAAAGCGCATCCTAAAATAAAGTTGTACTTCTTGAAATCGGAATATCTGTGACAAAGAGTTTTTCAGGAGGGAAGATGTTCAATTACCCCTGGATCCGAGCTGACTCAGTGGCAGAAGACTACATGGGTAACAAAATCAAGTATAAGAAACAAAAATGACTACTAAATAACAGGTTGTAATGTAGTGCTCTTCTCTCAAACCAGATACATAACAGGAATGCTCCTCACCCACGAAGGCCAGCCGCCTTGTGGGGCGGCTCCCTCAGGGCTTCACAGCCCAGGGCAGCGGGGAGGCTGGCTGCACGTTCTGCGAAACCCTTGCCTCATGCTCGCCAGGAGCTGCAGGAAAGGAAGAAGGGGCCTAGGACAGCGTTCTCTTTGCTCTCTCTGCAAATCTAATTAATCACCAAGGTCTGTTTTTGCCCAAAATATTTTTTGAAGCCATTCATGACTCTATCCCTCCCCGGCAAGCCTTTCCCGAGATCCGCTGGCTCGCGCCCCTCTCCCCGGGGTTCCATCTAACCGGTCTAGCCCACCTTCCAACTCCTCCCGCACTGCAATCTTTCGGACACACAAGCCTCCCCAAATCTACCCCCGGCTTGCTTCCCTCCCTAACGTTCTGACCTCTAGTCAAATGCCCCCCTTCTCTTGTTTAGCCGTGGACATTTCACTGTCTGTTCCCTCCGCCTGGGACAGTATAATCCCATTCTTTAATGGAAAAACGATACCGAGTTTTTTTTGTTTGTTTGTTTTTTTTTTTTAGCTGAGCCATCCTGCTACCTATTGGCAGCTCAGCGGCTGCTCAGCTCGGGCTGGACTCGAACCGCTGTTGCTCAGAGCTCAAACTCTTGAGCGAGCTCTTAACCAACTGAGCCACTCTGCCGGCCCAATACCGAGTTTTGAAGTACTGACTTAGGCATCACTTCCTCCTCTCTAATTTGGGCTAGCTGCCTCTGCTGTTCCCTTGGCACCGTGCTTCCTCTTCCTACGGTACATACTGTACATACAGTACAGTACTTTGTGTGCTGTACATAAACTACTTTTCAATTGTCTATTTCCCTCACTGGAGGATAGGCCCTGGTGCACAGATGAGCTGACTTGCCACAGCTGACTCAGCAACGAGCACGGTGCCCGGTACACAGAATGCAGTCTACACACGCTAGACGAATGGATCAGTGAACAGAACTAGGTCTCCAGTGGGTGAAGGATCGAAAATAGGAAGTCCCATCCATTAAAGCTATCCCAAATAACCATGTCCAGGCTGCTGGCTATTACCTGTGTCAGCATGGTCGTTGTGCATCTGTGTCGGAGCTCGTGCTATGATGACAGATCATGGTCTCAGGCTTTGTGGAGACTGTAATGCAGCGGGGTGATGGGAGGGTGGGGGGAGGGTGTAAGAGTGTGCTAAGGTAACAGGTCGTTACGAGGTGTGGCAGTGGCATGCACGGGGCCATTCAGGGCACAAGGCTTACAGTGCGAGCTCAGAAGGCCAGGCGGCTTCACGGAAAGGCCGACTCTAAGCTGCCACCGGAAGGAGGATCAGTGTGGGGCCGGTAACGGAAGGTCAGAAGAGTTCCCGGCAGAGGGAAGAGCAGGTGCCAGGACTGGAGGAGCAAGGACACAGGAAAGGATGGAGAGAAAAGCAGGAAGGGGGTCCTAGAGGGCCTACGAGCCAGGCTGGGGAGGCGTCATTTTATCAGGATGGTTAATGGGGGGCCACTGAATAGTAAGCTAGGGCTGATCAAACTGTCGTTTTACACAGCTTGCTCTGGCCCCGCGGAGAATGGATCTGAGGCTTCAAGACTGGCAGCAGAGACCGGCACAATGATTGTTAAACGGCTGTTAAAATGATCTAGTGGCTCGCGAGCCGCATCCAAAGAGCCGCATGTGGCTCACGAGCCACAGTTTGCCAAACCCTGATCTAGTGAGAAGCTACTAACGGTCCAAACTGGAAAGGTGTCAGTAGGGACGGAGAGAAATGGGTACCTCTGGAAGCTGTGAGGTGGTAGAGCTGACACGGTTTAGTGAGAACTGAGCCAAGAGGAGCTGACTTGAGGAGCTGAGTGGATGACAGTGGAGTTCTCTGAAATGGGAAATGCATGCAGAGACACAGGTCAGAAGGGGGAGATAACACACTCGGTGGTTTTGGGGACCTGAGGCGCCTATGAGACAGCAAGCAGAGCAGTTTAGTTACGAGGCTATGAGAACGCGCAGAGCAGGAGTCCTCTCCCTGCCCGAGCTAGTCTAGTTTTAATCTACTTAACTGCTAAGATCAGGGAGGCAGCTATCTGAACGAGATAAATGGATCTTGTCCATTTACAGCACATTCAGTTTGCTTTGTAACACTATACTCTTATTTTCCTAGCTTTCCTATTTTGGCTACTGCGGCCCCTCATTGGTTGTGATCACTGACATCACGTATCTCGGGGCTTTCCATCTCAGCCTTGCTCTCCGGGCGGCACCGTCCCGGAGTCTCCCCGCTCTTCCAGTGGTTTTCACATCCGAGCGTTTATCAGTCACTCGGAGTCCTTGCTGGACTGTGGGCCTCAGTCCCAGCGCTTCTGCTTCAGCAGGCCTGAAACGGAAGCCAGGAATATGCCCTTCTAAGTCCTCTGGTGATGTTGAGAATTACTGGGCTAGTCCATTTGAAACCAAAGCTCATACATTTTTTGGTGTGTCTATCACCCCCCCACACAGCTCCGTGCTGCACACCGGCCCTCCTCCTCACTTCCGGTTAGTTCTCGTCCCTGTAGCTCGAGATGCTGTTCAAATCTTGCCCTGACGCAGGCTTGCCCTTCCTTCTGTCCAGCAGTCCTTGTGGCATTAGAGACCACGGATGGATTCCACAGACTAACACATCCTGGCCCTGCCAGGTGCCCGGGATGCAGATAGGCTTGTCCTGGCTCTCCGTGGAGGAGCCCGGCCAAGGTCTGCAGGGGAGGAAGGCAAGTCGATGGACAAGGACAGAGGTGGACGGCGTCATGGGTTCCCAAAGCCACGACACGGAAAACCAAAGCTACTCAGCAGAACAACGATTTCAAAGCTCATGCAAAAGTCTCAATGAGGAAGATTTTTCTCACTTTTCTGCAGTTTACAAATTTGCTCTAATCAACTTACACCATTTATGTAATTAAGGAGAAAAAACCTAAACTATTATTTTTTAAAAAAACCTTGTAAGTGAACCAAAGTCTACAAAATGATTTCCCTAGACTTACCAAATCCCCTTTCTTACCTCACGTGACCCCTGGGATAAAGCACAAACGTCTCAGACCTTGCTGAGCCCAAGTATGTCTCCAGCTCTGCAACCATCTAACCCACTGTCCCCTGGGGAGCCTGTAATTCCAGACCACCCTTCGGTCCTGTCTGTGTCTTTTCTCAGATATCTAAAACACTCATCTTCCCTACCAACTACCCCCGCTGCCCTCAACTGCCTGCCCTTCACACTCCAACTCTATTTCAACATTCTCCACGGAAACCTCCTAACGATCCCCAACTCGCACTATTACCATTTCCAACTCTGCCAGCAGCTGTGTGCCACCCACTTGAGCCCTCCACCATCTGTGCTGTGATTTCAGTCATGTAAACGCATCTTCTCCTAACGTGACGATAAAATAGTTAAGGGTAGAGCCTTACACTTGTTTCCCAAAGCACCTGCCACCTACTAAGTGACTTTGATACCTATTTCAGTTTTTGTCATGCAAAGCTCTACTCCTTCATATGTGGGAATATGGTACTTGTAACTCTTCTATTGTAAGTGTCTACAAATCGTTGCCAGATTTGATACTCTGCGGTCAGTGAGAGAAAGGAAGCTCTTTTGGCTGAAGTGCTCTTGAAAAGCTCTGGCCGTACTGGACATCAATATTAAGCTCCCGCCTTTCAGCGCCTCCATGTTGACCTAGACCGAGATGAACCGCTATTTTATTCAGCTGAGCAGCAGATGAATAACGGCTTGCATTAGAGGGCCAGTTATGCCAATTTGTGTATTTTTAAGTACTAGCGTCACCATCAGTTTCAGATTGTGGCTGATGAATATCTTATTGCCTTGCAGAATTTACTATAAACATGGGTGTAGCTGTTCAATAAATGTTATGTTGAACCTGTGTGCAAAGGAATGAGTACTTTGATAGCGATGGGATGTACTGACTGAATATTGTGAAAGCTTCTAGAGGAACTGGATGGGACACTGTGGTTCCCTCAGGCTCCCTACTTGTATTTACTGAGAAACTGGCCAGAGGGAGTGGTTTCTCAGAGGAATCATTTATTTCAAATCCATTGTTTCTGGATGAATCATACTTAAGGACATTTAGTAGAGATAGGAATTTCTGATAGCTGCCAGAAAAGGAGACTTAACACACTCTCTAACCAAGCCAATATTTAACAATCTTTATTATCAAAAATGTTCTTATCCCTCCTGTTACAGTTTAACATTTCTTCTTCCCTCTTCTCCCCCCCAGGCCTGGCCTCAGGGCAGATTAGGAACAGCTGGGCCGGCTCTCCTCCCTACAGGAGACTCCGGACCAGACCAGGAGGCTATTATTAAACTGCTCTTAGCCTTCCCCCTTCCAGATGAATAATTTGTTTCTCTGTTTTTTTGTTTTAGGTCTTATTTCCCAACATTGTAGTCATTCTTATGACTTCTTCCAGTGGTAAACACAGAGCAGACACTGCCCATGACTGTGGTTTGGTCAAGTGGGAGAGGCCATCTTTACATTTCTGCTCAGGCAACTGCGACAGAAGGGGAGCAGCAGATTCAGACCCGTGAGGCCTGGGCGCAAGCTCAGGCTCTCTCCTTTACTAGCCATGTGACCTTTAGAGAAGTCATTAGCCTGAGATGCTTCAAAAAGCTGGAAATACCAGCCACCTCACAAAGTTGCTGAGATTAAACCAGATAATATTATGTAAGTGGTTTGGAAACTAGAAAGCGGCATTATTATTATTATTATTATTATTATTTCTGCTTTGGCTAGGAATGGGCACAAGAAGAAAAAGGCTTCGAGCTGATTTTGGCCAAATCTCATTTCAAAAGACTGAAATCTTCATCATTACTCAGATGAACGCTTCGACCAACCTGTGGTGAAAGCGCTGACTACACATGAAAATATAATTGTGGCAGTTCAACCGTCAACGTGATGACGCCAGGACGTGCATGTGTGGGGCCAGGTGTGGGGGGGTCCTGGTTCTGGGGAACTCATGACACTCTTAACAGGCCCCGCCCCACATGCACGTCCTGGCATCCTCACATATCTGGAAGGACATGATGGGAGTGGGGATTCTGCGAGAATGGGGATGGGTCCCAGGGTGACCTGCTCCCTTGGTTACTTAACCCCCGCAACACGCTTGTGCATTATGTGGAAGGAGCAAAACCTCAGGAACGGATGCTGGTAGCATCTGACTCTCTGGGGGGCTTTGCTGAACAGGGTGAGGTACAGATGGTCCAAGATAGGGTTCAACCTTGGTTCATCACCCACACACTAGATTCAGTTCCTCCTCCTTGGCCCGCTCCCTTTTTCTTCTAGAATGCTGGCTTTACAGAAGGGCAGTGCCCAGGAGTAGAGGGAGCTGATGAAATAACTACAAGTTCAATTCATCTGATTATGGCGGCTCCTTCCTCCATTGCTGTACAATGTCTGCCCCTAAGGTGAGCAGCACAGAAAAGTGCCATAAATCACACAAAGTTATTCTCAGTATAATGTAAGAGCTTGTGTTTTAGTGAATTCTAATTCTCTGACAAATGGCTACTCCACTTGACCACTATTTGTGGAGTGCCTACTGGATGCCGGGCATTTTCCTAGGTACCAGGCATTCCATCCAAATATTTAACTCACAGTTCACTTCCTTTTATTCAAGCAGTTTCAAAGAAATCGGATGCTACCGTCATCAGGACTGGTCATTGATCTCTGAGCAAGGATGGATCTCGAAATGTGAAAACACCATAAAGGGTCGCCAAACGCGAGGCAGGAGAGAGAAAAATGGTGTTTACGGCAAGGGCACAGGGTGCCCACCCCAGAAACACGCAGGCCGTGACGCCTGGCCATGGTCCGCCTGGGAGACACGGGGACGGGTTCCCACGTCGGCCATGTCCTTGGTTATTCCACTTGTTACGTGGAAGCAGACAAACAAGTCATCTGCTGGGACCCTGGCAAGAGGGGCTGGTTGAAGAGTCCACACACTGTGAAAAGAGCCTATTTTAAGGAAATTGCACTGATGTTGCAGGTGTGAATAATCACTGAAGAGAAGAGACATAACAGGATATAAATCTTAGAGGATTCATCTGATGGCAGAGTTCAGTAAGACGGCAGCTCAAGGAGACCAGTTCTAGGACTCCTGCAAAATTTCAAAGGCCTTAACTAAGGCGCTAACAACTTTCTAAAAAGTCAAAGTAATTTAACCTGCTTCATTAAGAGCCATGAAAATCAAAAAGACGACAGTGTTCTCACATCGTTGAATCAAAAAGCCCCGATTCGACTCTTTTCGTAAACCACACTGACTGCCATCCATGCCTGACGGTTGGCCAGTTCTACTTTACTCTCAAGAATCTAAGTAAGCTTTAACAGTCCCCATATTACTGGTTCCTGTAGGTCAGCATCTAGTTCCACAAAAGTAGGCTCAAACTTAAACAGTAAAAAAACAAACAAAAGAAAAAAAGGCAAGCTAATCTTTATTTTAAAAGTTGGGACTGTTTTGAATTGAAACAAACACTATTAGATTTAATTCAAGTAGATTTTTCCAGAATGCCCAAAACGGGTAATGCTTTTTCCTATTCTGCCATGAAATCTCACTCTTTTAATACACAAGCCTATCGCCCTCTCCCTCCCCAAACTATACCTGTTTAAGATTCTAAAAGGCTACCACAGGGGAAAACATTTATGGCCAAGAAAAGAGACTTATAAAAATAATTAACTAAAAGTAACCGGCACTAGATAATATCAGTGTTTAGTGGAGGAGAGGATATGTGAAAATGACGCTTATGGCAAAATCAAGGCCAGATAAAAAGTATAGCGACTAGGAGGGTTAGTGTGATTAACTTGTCATGTAAATATGTTTAAGACAAAGTGATCTAGCACGAAAAGCTATCAAGAAGGTCTCCTGCTGACATCTGATCACAAGACTTGTCACACTGCTCTTCTTTCATAGAAAAAAACCCCCAAACAAACCTGAAATGTGTTGCCTAAGAGCAGCGACATATAACCTCATCCCTTAAAGAACTCAGGCTTTCCTTCTATGCTTTTCTTTCCCACACACAAAACTCTGTCACCTGCATCACATTCTGAAACGTAAACACAGGACTGTATCTCACTAAAGACGGGAGAATTTTCCAGGATGCAGCACAGAGCTTTCACTGAGTACCGTACAAATTATGAATGAATATATTTTATTTAAAAACATGTTATTGACAGAAATCTATCAATAATAATGTGGGTATTGTCGAGGGCCTGTCAATATTAATGTAATTATGATTAAGGGGATAACATGGATTTTTAGCTACAATACCAAGTAACATCTCCGACGCCACTGCTATCAATATACACGTTATTATTGACCTGTTCTGAGACTCTCAGTACTAGATGTATTACCGTTAGGCATATTTGTCAATGCATGCTGCCGCCAGAAATTCTCCATTTGAAATTACAGTCCTGTAAACTTCGTCAGCAGAGACATATGATGCCCAAGTTATCCCTAAGGTATTTCACCCACATATGCACCCCTGCCAGGCTAGTCTTTCCCAGATGCACAATGATCAACTAATTTGTAGTATGACGATATTGCTGCCGCACTATCCTAAGGTTTGTAGTCATCAAAATGAATGGGCCCGTACGTTCACTTTTGTCCTTTTAGGTTTAAAAAAAAAGAAAAGAAGTTAAAGGAACATTTCACATCATGAGGTTCTGTGAATAAAGTTCTTAAACTGGAGATCTTAAGCTTTGAAACCTAGTCCTGATTATTTCCTCTGTGGAGTCAGATAGATTTACTGTCCATTGTATTGAAATCAATACTAATAAATGGGACATGCATCAAACAGGGATTTAACAGGACACTGATTCCCAGAACACATTTCGAACATGAGCAGAAGAGAAAAAAGCTATGGCTGAGCCCCATTAGAACACTCTGGCCTCCGGCACTGTGAATAGGCCGAGAAAGCAACAGCAGTAAGTTCAAGTCCCACTTCTGCCACAGACTTGCTAAGTGGCTTGTCACTAGGGTTTTGTTGCTTTCTTTCATCAATTACAAAGTTTCACTAGTTTATAGGTACCTGATGTTAGAAATCCCAATTGTGCTCATCTGGATAAAAAGAAGACATACGGAATTTTAAAAATTATGGAGACAATAGACCTCTAAATCACTCAACTTAAATGCAGTCCTCATCAAAATCCAAACAGGATTTTTCATTTTAGGGGGTGATAATGGGTGCACAACAAAATGTTTCTAAGGTATATCTGAAAAATAAACTTCAAAATATTGTAAATTTCTCAAAAAGATGAACAATGATAAGTAATTTGCCCTAGCAGAGGGGCTTTTTTTGGAGAAGAGGAAACTCAAATGTTACAAATCTTCAAGAAGATAATTAGTCTTATGCAATTGAGTACTGTACCTACTTCATTTACGGTATATTTATTCAAGAATCTAAAAATAACACAAAATCGTTTTTTAAACCTTAAAACAGAATTTCCAATACCTTGACCCACCTTCACAAATACATTTTAAGAGAAAAGCAAGGCACTCAATCTCTTCTTTCAGAAAGTTGATACTTCTGAGTATTTAACAGAGAAAGCCCACCCTGAAAATAAAGAACAGATGTTCGAATGAATATGGGGCAAGAAGTTAAACTGGTTCTGATCAGTTCTGTTCTAGCCCACATTCCCCAACAGGCTGTGTGACTCTGGATAAGTCATTTTACCACACTATACTTTTTAGCAGTTGAAAAACAAAACAAAAAACAAAAAAACAGGTGTTAAAAATTCTATCTATCTAGAATCATTATAGGAATTGTTTTAGGAAACCTTGGAAAATGAAGAAAAAGAGTAAGAGAATAGCCACGTCCAAATGCAGAAATGGTGATGTTGAACCTGAGTTTGAAAAGAGTAGAGAAAGTGGAGAAATCAGCACAGAGCACGTGAGACAGACACAATCCTCAGGGAAAATACCGGTGAAGTGTTTTGAAGACGGTCCCCACCAGCCTGTGAGTCTACAACTGTGGTAAAGACCCACCACTTACTCACCAGTGTGTGAGTTAACGAGTGACTACCGCAGCTAAGTGTTCTTTGCAACATTAAGTATTAAATCGTTTACTCCTTATAGCATGAGGCTAGAGGTTATTTTATTATTCGTTTTAAAACAAGGAAACTGAGGCACGGAGATTAGCTGACAGCTGGAAGTGGCAGAGCCATGCTCTGAACCAGCATCTTATACTGACACGGTGGTGATGGGCCTAAAACAAAAAGTAGGCACGGACACTTTCGGATGGCACCACAGGACAGGCAAATGGGCTATTTTAAGAGGCTCAGTCCTACGAGATGAAGAGAATAGGCAAAAACTTCAGGCCAAAATTCCCATCCGAGGATGAACAACGAGCCCCATGAAACAATGAAGCAACTCGATCTGTAAGGAGTCTATAAATTTAAAAAGAGGGCTTTAGGATCTAATTGCCTAAGAAGAAAATGCCAAACGACTTCAAAATTTTTGGACCACACATTTAATTGAACATTTTAGGGCACCGGAGAGAATGTGGAACTATCCACAACGGGACACAGATGCTAGCGATGGAAGAAGAGGAAGTACCATACGATACATACTATGTATGCTGTCTTTACATTCTTCATCTCATTTAATTCTCAGAACACTAATTCATATCATGTCCATTTTAAAAAGACAAAAATGAAGGCTTGAGAAGATTAACTCACCTGTTTCAGGTCAAGCTGGCGATTCGTAAATTTCTGGGAAATGCTAGAGAAACTGTGGAACACACAAGTATGGATATTTGGTAAGCCTGGATCAAGTTCAATGCCGCAGCGATCAAAGCACCATTTTCTCCCTCAAGACCAGACTGCTCGTTGCTCTCAGAACTGTAGATGGGGAACGACATTAAAGGAATGTGACCAAGTTGCTCGAGTTGCTGGGATGTGTGTCGTTCCCTCTCCTCGCCTCTACATGTGCTTGGAGGACCAAAGAGACCGGCTGTCAAATCTGCACAAAGAAAATAAGTGGGTAAAACAATGAGGCAAGAATGTTGACTTAACTGTTACGAACACATACTGTACGCCAAGTAGGGGCAATACCAACTCATCTATCTCACATTGGCGGGACTGGCTATGCATAATCGACTCAGACAGAATTACTCCAGAGCCAATGCGGGGGCCATTTTATCTCACCTTGGTGACAGACAGGTAAGAAGAGGGTGCTCTGATAAGGAAATCCATTCAATAGAATAAAAAGCAATACAGAAAAGGACATTTTGGTTGTATAGGTGGGCAAGGTCGGGAAGAAGCTGATTAACAGCCCAAGATGCGCAGACAGAGGGTGCCCCCACGCCCCCTTCCCTGCATCCACTTCCGGGTATAGAAGTCACAGCGCTGGCTTTGCAGCACCAGGATTACAGGCTGGGGGCCAGAGGAAGCGTTCAGGGCTGTTCTCCTGACGTGTCTTCCACATTCTGAAGGAACCAAAGAGGAACATGGGACCTTTAGAAAGAGAGCTGTCATTTCATAGGAAAAGAGAGAAAGCGAACATTCAATTTCCTTACAGGTTGCCCAACCCGGATAATCAAAGGAGGGAAAACAAAGCAACAAACGAGTCAGAGCGGAACTGTTGTCCAGAAATAAAGGTTGTCCATTTGGCATCCATGTTCTCTGTGCTATAGGACCCTGAGCACAGCGGAGTGCAAGAAGAAACGAAAAGGACTGAATGCCGGGTGGAAAATGTGGGGCTAGGACCCAGAACTTTCTTAGCGACACGATGCTGGGCAAGGGTGCTAACATTTTTGAGGATGAGCTACACATATGTCAAATGGGAAATACTTGCCCTCCCTGTTGCAAAGAAGATTACAAGCTTCAACATAAACTAAAAACGTTATGGCTAAAATACAAGGGGAAGGGGGAGAAAGACAAAGAATTATGATTCTGCTCATAAAGAAAAAAAATTAAATTTGAAATCTGTATCTATTAAACAAATGAAATTGAATATAGACATGCTTTATGGCTTTTAGTAATGAATTAACTTAGAGCATATATCATTTATTATTAAAAAAAACGAGTAAGTGCACACTGACTACAAATTCTGCTTCTTATCCTAAGAACCAGAATTTTAATGCTAGAAGGAAACGCAGATCATCTAGTCTAAGATGTGAATTTAATTTTCTTAACAGGAACCCTGTTTTCCAAGGAGAACACATAAAGGAGCTGTTCGTAGGCTTTGTCTCGGCCCCGCACAGCTCAGCTCCAGGAAATTTCTACAGGCGTTCTTCTAGGAAACAGCTTTAAAACCACAGGTTGAGTGCAGCTCGATTTCTAAAAATGAAGAGAGTAAGGCCAAGAGGTGACAAAGGAAAACCAGTCAGGTCTACAACTCAATTTTCTGGATTTAGCGCAGCATTCTCTCTATTATGTCCTATTACCTCTCTTCACCCCCCCCCTTTTTTTTTAAGAAAAAATTGTGCGGGGTTCTCTTTTTGACTTTGTAAATAATTCTACCCTCTTCTGTCTTCCAAATCTCCTTCTGGGTCAAGATCATTCAACTCTCATCTTTCTGGATACAAGTAACTGATAATACGGGTGGGCTCGGAGAGCACAAAGGGAAAAAACGAAAAATCAGCCGTTCCAAGTTTATCCTGCTCAGGTTTAACTGAAGGTAACGTACTAGAGGAAGGCGTTTGGACTACAACCTGGTGTGGGTGGAGCCTCCATCTCCCTGTAACTGCTTGAAACCATTAAGGCAAAAAAATTTTCAAGGGGCTTCCCAGAAGAAACGCTGCATGTGCGATGTGAACGTTCACCAACTTGGTCTCCTGTGAAAAGCCCTTTCAGTCACAAAATGTGTTTTTGGAAAATGGAACGTCAAAAAATAAACAATAACTTTGAACGTTCAGGCCCCAGAAGAGAAAAAAACAAAAAAAAAGGCTGATTCTCAAACATTCTTATATTTATCAGGAATTAATGTTAAATGGACACACTCACTGCACGCAATTTCGTAAGACAAATCCTCAGTAGGTCTTCCTCCACAAGAAAATTAAAACTGCTTTTAAGTCCCTAAGCTTTCAAAAAATGTTGGGTACTTATATTTTTTGTGGGGGGGGGGAGGGGGAATACCGAATATAACGCTTTTGATATGAACCCCCCGATATTAAGTCAAGTTTGGAACTTGCATAAAATTGTTCAGACGTTCGCAAGAGGTAAATCTCAGCACCGCCTAGTGCGAGGAAAAGACTTAGACGTCTGTCTCCGCAAAGTCACTTCGTGAAAGGCAAAGAGCTCTAGTCCAGCTTTTCTTCTTTTTAACGGTGCGATCCTAAGGCCATTTTTTTTAGACATTTAGGTTTGCCTCGTCGCCTCTCCCCAAATCACACTGTGATCGGCCCCTTCCCGGAAAACAGGAAGCCACTCCACGGGGAGACCCAAGCCAAGGGCGACAGTTCCAAGGCCGTGCGACTCCACGCCCCCCCTCGGCTTCGCACCGCGGCTCCTCGGGCCGACACTGACCTTGGGAGTCTGCGAAACGCCCCCGCTCCACGTTAACTTTTTCCGAAACATTCCCTAGGAAGCTTGGCTGTTCCTGGGCTACTCGGGCTTCCGGAACTCATGGGCTTCCGGAGCGACGCAGGACCCGGAAGTGTCTGGGAAAAAAAAAAAAAAGGGGGCAATTAAACCTACGAGTACTACGATTTGGCGCGAGGCGGAAGGCCCGGGAAGGCCCAGCCACAGCGAACGCCGACGAGCCGAGGAGCCGAGGAGCCGAGGAGCCGAAGAGCCGACGAGCCGAAAGGCCGAAGAAGACACCGCGCACGGTGATTGGTCAGCTGGCCGTTCGGAGGAAAACCGTGTTTGATTGGCAGGAGAGTCGCGAACCAGTCAGCCCGGGTCCGGGACCGCGCGTGAAGAGGGCCAGGGGTCAAGGGGCGGTGGGGAAGCCGGGGCTCGCTGGGGCAGGGCTTTCCCGGCCTTCAGACGCGGCGGCGGGCCGCCGGGCAAGCGCCGCTGGGTGGCGGCGGGGCGCCTCTGCACCCCGGGGCTCCTCGCTCGCCCCAGGTGGAGGACCCGTTGCGGGAGGGCCTGGTGGGAGGGGCCCGCTGGTGGGCGGCAGCCTGTGGGCGGGGCCTCGGCGGCGCGTGGCTGCAGGGCGTGGGGAGCTCGTTGACCTCTGCAGGCTCGGGAAGGCCGGTGGCCGAGGCCCCGCGGGACCCGCGCGCGCCATCCAGGCCGTGGGACCCCGGCAGCGGGGTCGGTGTGACTCACCCCGGAGCTCTTAGAAAAGGGCAGCCGGGCCCACCACCCCGGGAAACCGAGGCAGACGTGCTAGGACTAGGGCCCCAGGGACGGTCTTCCTGGAGCGTTCAGCAGGCAGCGAGCGTGCCTGTGGCCGGCGCTTGAATCGCCACCGCCTTCCCATCCTGTCGTGTGGGGGGCAGCGTCTGCCTGGCCCGTGGGTTCAGAGGCAGGAATGAAGTCAGGTAGGCAAAACTGCCCGCACGTAGTAGGTCTTCAGATCGTTCTAGCTGTCGCCTCAGCCCCACTGCCATCCCACTCAGCCCCACGACAGCTGTATTGTTAGTGAGCTTAGCCCGTGCGAGCAGTGTTGCAGGAAAGCGTTTTGATTTTGTTTTTGTTTTTTATAATTGTGGAACACAGTTGTTAGACTATGAAACACGGGCAAGATACACATTCACAAACTCTTAATACTGTTCAAATTTACTTTTACATGAAAAACATACCCCTTCATGTCACTTCCACCTGGAATTTTGTTTTCCACACGCTAAGGAGATCTTAGGGAAAAAAACGCCTGAAGGAAGAACAGGATGATGGCTCCTTGAAGGAACGGAAAGAAAGTCCTTCCCACCATGTGACCCAGCAGCACAAAGGAGATGGAGCAGGAGCGACAAGCTGATAGGGAGTGCAGCGCACTAGGACCAGAGGTGAGGTTGTTTTTCTACAGCTGGAGGTGCCATTACAGTGGCCACTAGCCTCCTGACATGAGGCCAGTCCTCACTGAGGTCTGCTCTAAGTGGAAAACTGGATTTCTAAGCTATAGTGTGAAAAGAATAAACTTTTATATTGGCTACGTGTTGAGAACGTTTTGGGGAATTTAACATCACGCCTGGCTCGCGTTATAGTTCTGTTGGACAGGGCTGCCCTAGAGGGTGGAGAAATCTCTTAACCTCTAAGACCGTCTAGGTTACCTTCCAGGTACGTTCATGCTCGCGTAGTGAAGGGCACACGCTCTGAGACATGCGTCATTAGGCGATCTCGGCCCTGTGGGGACATCGCAGAGTCCACTCACACAGACCTAGATGGTCCTGCCTCCTGCACACGCTGGGGTATAGCCTCCTGCACACCTGGGCCACAAGCCTGCACAGCATGTCACTGTGCAAAACACCACGAGATGACATCAAGCACAAGAGAAAGCGATGCAATCAGGAGACGCGGTGAACATAAGTGCGAGGCTGCTGATGGCATAACACGGCAGGCTGTCTTACAGCAGACTTTTTTATAAGTAGAAAGTGTACATTCTAATGACAAAAAAGTATAGTCTAGTAAATACATAACCAGTACTGTGGTCGTGTGTTGTCGAGTGTTATGCACTACTTAATTGTAGGTGCTAAACTTGCATACGACGCAGTGCAGTAGATTTGTTTACACCAGCATCACTGCAAATGTGTAGAATGCATGGCACTATGACCTCTGACCTCTTCTTGGCAGCTGCGACTGTCACTAGGCAATAGGAATTTTTAGGTCCATTATAACCTTAATGGGACTACTGTCTTATGTGCAGTCCATTGTTGACCAATCGCTTAGCTTCTAGGGTCTTTCATGTAGCAATTGTGAAGGAACGTGGCCACGTTGCACGTCTCGGGTAGGCCCACAGGTGTACTGGGCTTCGTGTAATTCTTATGAAAGGGGAAAAAAAAGGATTCCCCCCAAAAAAGACTGACATTTTCAGAAAGCAAGTTCTAGTGTGCGGAGCCTTCTGTATGTCACGTGAGCATCACAATAACTATTGATAATAATAAAGATACCAAGCTATCAAGAAATTTGAATTATGTTTAACGAACCTGATTAAGAACATAACGGGACGTGTAGCACATACAAGACTTTTGTTGAAAAACGTTTACGTTCTGGCTCTTATCATTTAATCTCTATAAATATACCTTTTTTAGATTTCCAGAGGACTAGTAAGCTGAGATTTCAGGGGAGCTTTGTTTCCAGCTTTTTTATACTTGCTTTATTTTTATGTTTCATTCCTTTATTTAACAGAAGCCTGCGAAGGGCCAGAAGCCTTGCTAGGCAGTGTCGATATAAAGGTGAACAGCACACAAATGGCCTTTACTCTCCCGGAGCTAATGAGTATCAATTTGGAGACAGTGAAAAAGTAGATAATGACCAAGCAAGGGTGTATTTTGCCTTTGAGCAACTGCTGTGCCTCTGTAAATTCAAAAAGTTAACTGTTTTAAACCTAGAGTTTATATATTCCTGTGGACATGTTACGAAAGAATCTTACTAGAATTTGGCTGTGGGCTTAAAAATATTAGTAAAAAAATCAAAGTATACTTCATTCACGCATTAATTATGAGAGCTTGAAGAACAAAAATGTTAAATTAGAATATTTCTTTACCTTTAAATATAAAAAAGATGAAAAATTATAATAGCATCTTATTTATAATACCCCTTTTCAGCCCTTCTGCGACTTTTAGGTCCTCAGGAATTTCATAATAGAGATGTAAAGGAGACATTGATTTATGCCCCTAACATAGTTTAAAATTGCTGACTTAAAAAGTTAAATTTATTTTAGCATATTACATAGTCCTTAAATCAATATATTTGAGTGTTTTAGGAAAAAGTTAAACAGATCTTATATTAGTTTACCACTGCTGATATAGCAAATGACCATCAAGTATAGCCTCTCAAAGCAACACCAATGGATTATCTTACAGTTCTGTAGTCAGAAGTGGAAGTCAGGTGTCACTGGGCTGAAATCAAATGGTCTTCAGGTCTGTGCTCCTTCTACAGGGTCCAGAGAAGAATCCCCCCCTTTTTTTTTCTTTCTTTTTTTTCTCACTCAGGTTGCCCGTAGAATTCAGTTCCGTGTTGTGTCAGTATTGAGGTCCCTGGGTCCTTGCCAGCTGTCAGCTGAGGGATGTCCCCAGCTTCTAAGAAGCCATCCACGTTCCTTGGGTTGTGGCCGTCTTCCTCCATCTTCAAAGACAGCAGTGGGGAGTTGAGACCCTCCCATCCTTCTAATTTCTCTTACCTCTTCTTCTGTGGTTTCTTTACCTCTTCACGTGCCCTCTTTTAAGAATCTGAATAGGTGGGGCCCACCTAGGTAACCCAGGATAACCCCCAGCTCTCAAGGTCCATAACCTTAATCCCATCTGCTAAATCCCTTTTGCGTGGATGAGGTAACATATTCACAGGTCCCCAGGATTAGGACGTGGACCTTTTCAGGGGCCGGTATTCTGCCTGCCGCAGATCTCAGTTGGGACCATGCAGTATATTCAGCCCTTCTCACCAGTCTATTCAGTACGTTAGATAGAATAATAGTGTTGACAATAACATATGCATCTTACTGAACATGTAGCGTGTTCCAGGAACTATTGTGAATCCGGTTTCTGCATTTACTCGTTTAGTCCTCACAAGTGCCCCAGGAGGAAAACACTTACTAACCCCGTTACAGGCAGGGGAGCGTGCCGGGTGGGGAGCCTGACTTCCCACAGCTACTGAGTGGTGCCGGAGCCTGTGCGTGCTCTGAACCACAACATGGTAAAACTACGTTCTGAATGTGTGCATTTACTCAATATGCTTTCATGACACGGTGACCCTGAGTGCGGGAGCTGGCATCACAGCATCTGGATTTAAAGTCTACCTTTACCAGTTCCTGGCTGACCTTGGACAAGTGACTGAACCTCTCTGAGTCTAAATTAGCAATGGCTGAATTAATAACACTTGAGGAGTGAATGAGCCACTGTATGTCAGTACTTAAAACAGTGCCTGCGCATAGTAAGCCACTGCTAGCTGGAAGGATTGATGACAATTCAACTTTTTAAAACAGTCGTTTATTGTGAAAATCAATCTTTCCTTTAGGTAAATCCAGTCTCCTTGTGAAATAAAAACTAAATCTTTCCTTTTACCGCACCGCAATGCTCCCTCTTTTCTCAGCCTCAGATTTCTCCCCGCTCCTCTATCTTTCTTGCAGTGTTACTTTCGAGTGTGATCTGACCGTGACTTAAAACACGTTGTCCAGACCCTGGTTGCCCCAGGTTACTGTCTGAATTCCTTAGAAGGGCACCAGGATGCAAGCTCCAAACACTCCCACCCCCCACCTCAACCCCACCCCATTTCTCCACCTAATGCACAAGCATCGCTTTTAACTTCTCACTCTCCTCTTTTGGTATTATTATTCCTTGAGAGAGGCCCAGGGCATATCCTGGGTCCCAGACCCTAAAACCTTCTAATACCTCTCCACACCTCTCCCTCTGTTCTAAGAAACATTGCTGCCAATGCCGTAATTCGAACCCTCATCATCTCTGCACGTTGAGTACTCTCCTAACAACCTGTGGGCTCCAGCCTCACTGCCCTTCAGCGTCTCTCTCCCCCGTTTGCCAGAGTGATCTTCCTGA